AAATAGAAATGTGTGTGTGTGTACACAAAGCGGTGAGTCAGTGTTTTGTATGGTTTATGGTTTTGTTCAGATGAGGTGCTTTTTAAGGAGTATGACATCAGTGAAATTGGTTGTTTTGGTCTTTGATCATTTTGTAGGTATCACATTACTTGGAGCTCTTTTTAATGCATTAAATTAATTATGGTTTGCAGTGCACCTTTAATGCACTGTATGATCTTGTGAATAATTGTAACCAGAGCTATAAAACATTATAATATTTAACTATTCCATCAGAAAGTATAATGCTTTGAAACAATTTCAGCTGTAACAAGGAATCTGTAAGTATTGACTTAGATTACAGTTTTTTATGAAATGTTATAATGCATTACAATGTATATTATGAATAATTATAATGCATTATACATACAGGCTTCAAGTAAAGTGTTAGCGTTTTGGACAATAAAAGGTTATATTCATTTAGTCTATTTGTTGAATATAGTGTCCATACAAAATGTGTCTAATCAGGGTCTGGTGGACATGATATGGCCATTATTCAGGACTTCCTTCATAATTCAGGTATTGGTTGATTATTTAAAAAAACAAAATTTAGTAGTTCTGCATATTGCTACTGTTAATCAGTTAATCTTTCTATGGCTGCTCACTGATGTCTCTGATGAATAGGTAGATCTGTGTTAAAAAGCAGATGGAGGTAAAGCTGAAGAAACACTCGCTCAACACGCATAAGTGACATTTTTGTCTCCATTTTACAAGCCACTAAAATTTTCATTGGAAATCTAATAAACACTAAGCCCAGAATGTGTGTTGTAAAGCCTTGCAAAAAATGTTTGCCAAAACAAAATGAATTCTGTATAAAACACATGCAGTGCAAGAAGTGAGATCAGGAGCATGCAAATACTGAAATGAGTCTTGCACTTAGGGCTGCACGATTAATCGAAATTAAATCGCAAAGGCGATAAATCTCGATTAGGCAGAAGCTGTGATTGTCATGCGTATCTTTCAGTGAAGCACGGTTCTGTGATCAGCAGTAAATCTCCATCCGAAGGCCAGAGGGCGCTCTCGCGCAGAAGAAACCCAAGAAATCCCTATATAGCGTTGCTGAATAACCAGAAGATTTAACTGCTTTCCTTGATTCAACATGACTAATAAACACACGACTACGACAATATATGGTTTATCCGAGTTCGTCTTATTATAATGTTTATTATAATAAAGTATATAATAATGCAATGCTAATCGACATAACCTTTATCACTGCTTAAATACTATGAAATATGTTGCGTGCCTTATTCTGTGTAAGAAGCCTCATCATCTCATAGAAGGATTTATTTCAAACACTCGACTGACGTTATATGAAGTGAGTTTGGAGTAAAAACATGTTATTAAATGTGGTATTTTCACGTGCTTTCAGATGAAGCAACATTTACTACACAGAGCCGTAGTTCACTGATGAGCTCTGCAAACAGCTTTCATAATCGCAGAACGATTTCTTCGATTTCATAATCGCGCGATTAAATCGTCTGCGATTATGAACGCGATTTTGCGTAGCTTGTCAGTGTACTACGGCTCTGTGTAGTAAATGCTGCTCTATCTGAAAGCACATGATGGAGATTTACTACTGATTACAGAACCGGCTTTACTGGCGAGATACGCATGACAATCGCATTCGATTAATTGTGCAGCCCTACTTGCACTCGAACTGACTTTTTTTTGTGAACTTCACTCTTACAGCCAGTTATCATTAAGGCAAAATAGTCTGGATCAATTTTTTGATTCCTGGCTTTTACCACTAGATTTTTGAAAGTATCTGATGAGCACTTGACATAGAGGTTTGGTAGTGTTGAGGACACACTTATGTAAGCGGTGCAGACACAGAGTGTGTATGTGACTGCTGAAGAAGAGCAGCTCTATGAATAACTCTGTGCCCATTTCCCAACTAAATCACTGCTCTCTTCTATTACAGGCTCTGGAAAACGGCTGCTCTGGTGGTTATAGACAGCTGCTTTTCTCATTCATGCTCAATAACGGGTTCAGAGCCAGGTTAGAAGCCATGTCCGATGGAGACCAGACCTTAGAACCTCATTTGCTAGCTCTCTGAAAAAATGTCAAACTCCAGAGCATCACACAAGCATCTGAATAATGAACCCATAATGACTATATTCTGAATCAATCTTTCTCCACACTGCCAAATCGAAATAATTTCTGATCTATTCTAATAGTCACATTTTTAAAGTGACGGTGTGTTTCTTCTTTGTGTAGAGCCGTTAAATGTAAAAATGCACTTGTGTCAGTGGCTTAAAAATAATTAATTAATAATGTTTACTTTTATTAATTGGAAAAATATGTCCTAATATGTTCCACTGAAAAAAGTCATACAGGGCTGAAACGAATAGTCGACACTATCAACAATAAAAAATTGTCGACAAATAGTTTTGTTGTCGAGTAGTCGTTTGATCTCATATGACGTAATGTAATATTACATTAGCCTGCAATAATGCGGTTTGACCAGTGTGGCGCTGTAGTGCAAGACTGTAATTCAGCTCTCCTGATGCAATTCAAGACACAGAGCTTCAGACAGAGCAAACGCAGCCGAACCCGAGGCTGCTGAGCGGCTTTTCAATAACAAAATAAACATCCAAAAATGACAGCGACGAGAAAGCAGCCGTTTAAAACGCATATGGATGTTGCACGAGCTCTGCAGTTCAGTACTCCAGTAAAGTCCAGTCACGTCACCTTTATTTATATAGTACTTTATCAGTGTTTCCTCTGCCATTATATTGGCCCCGCCCCCCTTGAAGATCAAGGTAATTTTATTTACTTTTATTTTCTCTATAGCTCCAGATCACAACAGAAGTCATTTAAAGTTACCTTTTCTATAGAACAGGTCTATACCTTGTTCTTTTATTAAACAAACTAAATAGCCTTATGTTATTTATCTTATTTACATGACGGCATGTCATTTCTGTCTCTAAGTTACATCCGCCCCGATGCGCACACGTACACTCCCACTAGTATTTGTAAATATTAAGCCGCAAAACGACTATTTAAATGTGAATTGTGTGTGTTAATGAATGGCGCAGATGCGCTGTTTTCTTTACTACTCATCATACTGAAGCGCGCGTGACGCTCACGGTGATTTCAGCGTCTGCCGTCTCACTAATGAGCACATAAATACATGAACATCTCCAGAACTGCTCTGAGAGACATTTGACCGTTTCATTTGAGTAAAACTATCCTCATATCACATACACACAGAAATGTAAAGGTATTCACGACAACCCGTCAAAATAAAAGTTCGGTTTTACTTGAAGACATTAGGCAGAAATCTATTACTGTTGTTCAATAGAATGTATGTAATAGTCTACTACTAACATTATTAAAACCTTATTTGTAAGGAATAATCATACGATATTTCTTCAGTGTTTTAATTGTAATATTAAATCCCCTTTATTTTCCAAAAATATTTTTCATTATTTAAAAGATAAATTAAATGAATGTTTTATGCCTTCAAAATGTAAATACACAACACAGAATTTCTGAGCGGGAAAAAATCGTAAGGCTTTTGTAAGAATAAATGAATCTTGTTTTCATGCTAAAACACAGAATTTGGTAACAATAAAACACAAGGTTGGAAAAAATGAAACATTTCATAGGACCCTAAACATGTAATTTGTGTTAAACTTTTAATAAATTGATGTTAAATTAAGTTTCATGATAATTAATCACTTAGATTATAATTAATTAGACGTGCTCTTTGATGAATACAATTTAATTTAACCATTAAAAAAGAGTCCAGAACCAATTTTAAAAAGCCATAAACCTAGGGGAAACACTTACTTTATGCAATAGATAGCCTTAAATCAAGCAGCTTCACAGTATTAAACATGAAGAACCAGAGTCAGTGTCACTTTCAGTTAGAATTACAGCTTGATTTTCTGTTAAAAAGCAGCTCTCCAGTGTGGAGCTAGCTAATGATAAAATTGTTTTATTAGTGAGAAAAAAAAATACTTCATTAAAGTCAAAGCTTGATCTAGCTCAGGACTGTTTTGGTTATCATAACCCTATAAGGTATTTTAAGAGAGATTATGTTGTGAATAAAATAGTTTATCCAAAAATAAAACCTCTTAGTCAGGCTTTTGAGGAACATTTATTTGTTCATCTCTCAATCATCATTTTATTGCATTGCATTATATGTGTCATTATTAAACTGAGCTATACTAAGGTATATTATTGGAGATACAGAGTGACGACTGATATTTCTATCATTTTATGCAGGTGTCTGCTATACTTTTAAAAAGACGGCATTATGCTAATATTTCCACATAGTGAGGTAGACATGAGGGGGGGGGGCAGAGTCTTAACTTTTATAACGAATATCTCTTTGGATTTGAGACTTTAGTCTTTGCAACTTTACAGATCTTCTTTATGCACCAAGAGCTTGTAACACTCCAAAGAGAAAGGAAAACTTGAAATCGCATCATATGACCCCTTTAATTGATTTTTATTTCAAGCTATCAGAATTTCATCTTGCTTTTTGGCCACATAAATATATAAACATCTGCACCAAATTACATATTTTAGCTTAGTTTGTGCCTCTGAATAAAATTAAGGTATTTTCCCTCTATATTCTCACTATATGATATTATATGAGCCTTAAAAACTCATATAATATAATTTTTTTGTTGTTTTTTTTGTTTAACCAAAAATGTACATATGCATTTTTTTTTTTATTTTTTTTTTACATTTTATTTAAGTGTTCAAACTGTTCCGTTTTTTAAATTAGACTTTGCAGGCTCTTAATTCATATGTCAGGCTTTACAGGGTTAATAAGCAGGTGCACACATGGTTCTCTTGCTGCTTTACTGATGTCACAAGCTGACATTAGTAGCTCCTGAGGTCTGTATGTTTTACTTGGGGAACGGGAAGGACTTCCTGTCAGTACAATAGCTGCCCTCCTCGTGGCTTGTCCTCACTCCCAGGAGTCTTTTGGGCGAGACGCAGTGATGTCTTCTACCAGAGCAGTCTGCTATAGGTAGAGGAGGGCGCCAACCGGTCATTCCAACAGGACTAGATGGGACTGCATGACCTTTTCGTGTTGGGACAGGAAACCCTGAGTCATGGTTTCAAAGCTAAACTACTGTTTCTCTGTGTGTGTCTGTAGTATCTGGGGCATGTGGAGGTCGAGGAGTCTCGTGGCATGCACATCTGTGAAGATGCCGTCAAGAGATTGAAGACGGTAGGTGTACAAACTTCATCTGTCACATCTCCAGTGCTGAGACGAGATCTCCTGTTCTTCACCTGAACAGTCTCCTCAGTCTGTGTCTGTCTTCCTCTGCTCACACCACATCTCTTTTTTTTCCTGCAGTCGACACCAAGTGGTCTATTTAAAGCGCGTCTGTCTCCTCCTGCTGTTCTCTTCCTCTTCCGCTGGTCTCGCTTATGCTGTCAAGCATAAAAAAAAAAAAAAAGCTTCATGTTTAAAATAAGTTGAGCTCAGTCAAGCATTTCCTTGTTACTGCATAACGTGCTCACAAACCAATATGCCACATCAGTCTTTGTTTACAAGTTTTTCTAGTTTTGATAACTTGCTTAGCATTCAAAGCTATTTAATTTAGCATTTAATGTTGTCGTGAGCGTCATATTTGGAAATAAAATCATTTCATTTCAGGTTTCAGATTAAATTTGCTGTGCTGGCAAGTTATTTCAGCCTAACATAGGAAGCCAGTGCACAGCTTTGTTGATTAGAATGCACTCTCAGAAAAAAAGGTACAAAAGCTGTCACTGGGGTGGTACCTATTCAAAAGGTATACGTTTGCATCTTTTAGCTACTAATATGTACACTTTAGGTACTTATATGTACCTTTAAGATACCAATATGGACTCTTTAGGTACAAAGGTGAGCCTTTTGAAAAGGTACCGCCCCAGGGACAGCTTTTGTACCTTTTTTTCTGAGAGTGTGGGAGTGATGTGGTTTGTGCAGTCTAGACTTTCTAGTGATTGTTTTGAAAAATGGATTCTTTATAAAGGCGCTATTCTGAATGCAGAGAACAGGTAGCATATCAAGCATCTTATCATTTGTCCAAACCCCAGCACGTAAGCACACGGTCCGCTCGGAGAGGTACAGGCGTGAGTTTCCGGTCTCAGCAGCGTCCAGCGGAAGACATTCCATTCTTCAGGGAAAAGGAAATCCAGTATGATGTCTATTTTCCACGTTGCCAAGGCCTCGCACGCCTCCACCCAGGTTAAGCTCTGGAGAAATAGAGTCGTGATGTTTGACACTTTCCACCTGACGGCTTGCTCTGAGTTATTGCGTATCTTCTTCTCCATCTAACCTTGTGTTGGAAAAGAGTGCTGTGTTTAATCACATTAGTGCTGCTTGTAGAAGACTGTCCTTTCCGGTTTGACTCTCAACCCATAGTGTCTAAGCTGCTCTTTTCTATGCAGTGAAAGTGAATGATGACCTCAACTGGCAAGCTTTTCGAGGCACAATTTTCAGCAAATAAAGAGTTAAATTTTGGTCTGTTAATCACAAAGCTCTCGGGTGGTTTCAGAAAACTTGGAATATAGAGTACAGGCTTTTCAGAGCTTGACAGCCACTGGTCACCATCCACTTTCATTTCATGGAAAAGCTGCATCATTTTGCAAAATCGGCTTTTCTTATAAAATTGCAAATGTGATATAAAATGCCATTTAAAAAAAAAAACCTCCAGGTTTGCTGTGCTTGTTTGTAGGGTTGCACAAGCGTATACAATTAATTAGTTTCTTTTATTAGCATGATTGTTATTACTAGATAAAATATTAAACAAAATGAAAGCAAGTTGTATTTCACTCTAAAATAAACTTTTAAGCATTAAAAATAATAATAAAGAGAACCCTAACAACTCATTTTTTGGTAAGTGCTTCTCATTACTAGAATGGGAAGATTTAGGCTTTTTTTTCTAAATGCAAATTAAAGCAACTCAAACATAAAGCAGGTGCAGATGGAGTTCATATGGAGCAGCATTTACTGTGAACTGACACGCTCTGAGATGCTGAAAACCCCAAACCATGAGCTGCTCATGTGTAAATGAACACAGTGCTCCGCTTCCCTCTGAAACATGCAGCGCATGGTTTTTTTTTTTTTTTGCATTTTAAAAAAATATTTATGTAATAATATTTATAATAGTTTTCATAAAATAGCAGATTTGATCATCGCATTAAGCCATAACATGATTTTGGTTTTATTTTGAATGATCGTGCATCTCTAGTCAGAGTCATATGGCTCTTGCATGAAGACACAAACACCCTGAACCTAACTAATGACATACAAGCTTTAAAGAGCCAGCTTTAACAGATAAGTCATCACTCATGACCCTGCAACCTTCTCAAACCCTCGCTCGGACAGTCCAAACCTCATTATTTCCAGAACTGATCAGCTGTAATTAAGTTACCATCACTGTAACCCGGAGCACCAAATCAAGTGGCTTGAGCAGGAGAAGTGGCTGGACCTGTGTGTGTGTGTGTGTGTGTGTGTTAGTGTGGGTGTGTGTGTGTGTGTGTGTGTGGACCATACTCTGACGTAATAAGATTTCCTGTCACTGGAAGCCTGCCACCCATGTCCAGGAAGTCCATGTGTCTCTGCAGAGGCTCTTCTTTATTGATGTCATCCACTTGTATTTATTGTTACTGTGCCAGTTGCACCTAACATGATAAATGTGTGTATAAAGGACTGGCATGCAGATATCTAATGCAGGGTTTTTTTGGGTGGGGATGATGTTTTTTGGGAGGATGTATCCATAAAGAATATAAGCGTCATGTCCAGTGATGCCAGCTTGCTAGGCTTTGGTGCAGAACTCTTATCTCGATTTTTATGCGCGCACACACACTTCCCAAGTCACACACGGGCTGTTTGTGTTTGCTGATGATCTTTGACCTTTAACAACTGGAATTCAGGAGGCCACAGACTACCTTGTTACTTCCTGTTTTCCAATTCCAAAAATGTTATTGTTATTATTATTAGGGATGCACGATATTAGATTTTTGCTGATATCCGATATGCCATTATTTTTCGAATTATTTTGGCTGATAGCCGATACTGCTACCGATATATATTTCCTTATTATACTGACATATAATTCTTATTTTTATTTTAAATAAGACCAAGTGTCTCCTGTGCAGAAATTATAGATACAATTATTTTTATTTTTGGTTAGTTTTGTGCAAAAATTGTTAGAACTAATAGAAGTAGACTTTAGTCTTTGCAACTTCAGGGATCTTATCTATGCACAATCAGCTTGTAACACTCCAAAGAGAAAGGAAAACTTGAAATCGCATCATATGACCCCTTTAACATTTTCTTTGTGCATTCAACATTAAATAGATGGTCTAAAGCAAAAGAGCTGTACAAATTCTACAAATCTTTAGAATTTTGAAGCTCCTCGTATTTCTGTTTTCATAATAAATTTGAAAAAATATATTACATATTAATGAATAAATTTACAAGTGTCATGTTTGTGATTTTTATTAATGTAAGCTATAGCTTCTGACCTTTAAATCAAAACAGACTTGTTATTTTATGACATTACAATTACTGCTTTACTTATTTAGAAACACAAGTATCTTAATGTTATTTGTGTAGATTACTTTTCATTTTATTACAAGTAGGCCTACAGCACCCCTTAAGTAAATAAAACACCTTACTGGAGGGCTACTGCAGGCGCTGGTCACTGATGACTCTGTCGCACACTGGACACGTCATTCTGTACTACATTCTCAAATTAAATGCAGAGATCAAACACAGTGAATCTTTATTTTTATTTAATTTTTTTTAATTAAGAGTGCAAAACATACAACATACGGTGAACACAAAACACAAAAACATTACTACATACACATACCTTTATTATTATTGATATTACTGTTGCCGTCATCGCAAGGTATTATTATCATCACCATCTTTAGTATTATTATTATTATTATTATGCATGCTAGTACTACTTGAATACTACTACTATTATTGTCAGATGGTCATCACTGTTTATTTTCATTGCTGTTATTATCATTGCTGTTCTATTGCTGTTTTTGTGTTCAAACACAGTGAATCTAATCACCGTTCAGGTAAAAGTTCGCCCACACTGCTGTCTTGATCTTATCACTATCACAGTCTGAGCACGTGAGCTGTTCATCTTATCGGCAAGGCATATCGGCATAGTTTTCAGATCGGCCGATGGTTACATTTTAAACCTTTATCGGCCGATTCTGATAACGTTCCGATAATATTGTACATCCCAAGTTATTATTTTAGTTTTTACATTTCAATTTTGTCATTTTAATTTAGTTATTACTAATATTTTTCGATTTTTTTTTATCTGATTTTAGAAGCACTCTAAAGCCCCGTTCACGTTTTACATTTCAATTTTGTCATTTTAATTTAGTTATTACTAATATTTTTCGATTTTTTTTTTATCTGATTTTAGAAGCACTCTAAAGCCCCGTTCACACTAGCAGCGACTTTTGTCGCCAGGGGCTGGCGATGAGGTTGCGATTGGGCGTTCGCAATACTGGTTGCCTTGACGGCGAATCAGGTTTCTTGCCGCCAAGTACAAACATTTTGGAGGCAAAAGACTAAATATAATCTAAATCTAAATTAAATCCGTACATACAAACAAAAATGAATGAGAAACAGAGCCTACTTTCTTTCATTGCGTATGTTTATCTACGGCGCTGAGAGGAGAACGATCACATGAGCTCTACCGTCTTCTTTCCTATTGGCTGTCGCTCCCAAAAGTCGCTCTTCATTTGCATCAAATTGAAGGATTCTGAACTTTGCCGCGTCGCTGGACACGCCCCATCCGGTCGCCAACGGCCGCTGTCGCTCATGTCGCCGAAAATCGGCAACTCTACATTGAAATGAATGGGATTGTGTCGCTTTACTGTTGCGTGTCGCTTGTAGTGTGAACGGGGCGTAAGTTTTATGTGTGAGCCCACAATAATGCACAATTATTATTTTTATTTTAGTTCAAGTTTTAGTCATTTTGCTGAGCGCTTTTTCTCATTTTTATTCGTTTTTTCTTTACCTAAACTAAATGAAAATTATAAATGCTGCTTTGGCAACTAGCTGAAATAAAATACGTTTAAATAGTAACTCTTTTCGCAAAGCTTTCAAAACAACAACTCAGTTCTGCTATAGGCTGAGACCGAACATTTCTAATGAACTCGTTTGCACTTCAGATGCTAAATGCAGTGCAGGCATAATATGCGCTCAGTTTACACAGCCTTATTTTGTCATGCTGCATGGCTACCTCAAATACTTCCTTTTCCGTGTTCTTCTGAAATTAAATAATTTACAAGTGTCACATGTGAATCATGTTCATTTGTTATTATCTTCTGAATGTTCCTTCACAGCTTTCTCATGATGGTGTGAAGAAATGAATTAAATTACTTGGAAAGTTATAATGTATTCACAGAAGTAACCAAGACGGGTGAACAGACCATACTGCGCTGTGTTTGTGGTCAGGTTATGTACATGTACTGTAGTAACCGTTATGGCAACATTCAGCTCTCTAACAGTGGAAAAGCAGGCCAATTCTGAGAGAAAGAACAACAACAGGACATTTCAGTTTCTTTCCTCTTATCTTTCCGGTTTCTATTTACTTCCAGCTCCTGTATTTCTATTCTGTCTTCGGTTACTGCACGTTCTTTTCCACCCTGCTCAATTTTTGGCAGTTATTACCCATGAATCTCCCGTCGTCCTCCATCTGTTTGCATATGTAGTGAAGTGAATGCATTACGATGTTCTCTTTCTCTAAGCAGGTTTGTTGACATGAGCCATTAAGAGCATCTCGATCCTCTCTGACCCCTTCAACCTCTTTTCTAACCCAATGAGCATCGCTTTCCTTCTACGGCTGTGTATGAACTTACTTGTGTGGAAACAAACAGTAACTTTAAACCCGTAACATGTAACCTCCACCTCTTTCTGTGCCTTAACTGAAGATGTGGGCTCAGTATATAATGGTTTTGCTGGTCATGATTGCTTGAACTGAAACCCAAACCTCAGTTAAGGGACGTGAAGCCAGGTTAGATGAGAGGAAGTGAGTCTTAGGCTTGCACTTCTTGTTTTACAAAGGCCACATACACATTCCACATGTACAGTATATGTGACCCTGGACCACAAAACAAGTCATAAGGGTCAATTTTTTGAAATTGACATGTATACACTATCTCAAAGTTGAATAAATAAGCTTTCAATTGACGTATGGTTTGTTAGGATAGGACGATATTTGGCAGAGATACAACTATTTGAAAATCTTGGAATCTTTAAAGTTGTCCAAATGAAGTTCTTAGCAGTGCATATTACTAATCAAAAATTAAGTTTTGATATATTTACAGTAGGAAATTTACTAAATATCTTTATAAACATGATCTTTACTTAATGTCCTAATGATTTTTGGCATAAAAGAAAAATCTATAATTTTGACCCATACAATATTTTTTTGGTTATTGCTACAAATATACCCCAGCGACTTAAGACTGCTTTTGTGCTCCAGGGTCACATATGATATACAGTATTCAGTCCTACTTCTTCACACTCACGATGGTTGCCATACTGATAACCTAGTTTGGAGTCACGCAGCTGTTAACAAGATGCATGACACCGGCTGTTTGTGAATTCAGTAGTAGATGCCATCATACCCATAAATAACCAAACACTGTGTGTACACTCTTAAAAAAGAAGAACCCATTTTTGGTTCCCCAAAGAACCTTTGAGTCAACAGTTCAAGAACATTTTCAAAATCTAAAGAACCTTTTGTGGAATGGAAAGATTCCATGGATGTTACAAATTCTTCATGGAATTAAAATGAAGCTAAATGAAAACGAGTTTTTTGATGGATTTCGCTCTGGTTAACTATAATAAGCCTGGTGTGTATGTGGCTGAAGAGTGCTTTTGAAATCTTCACACTCTTCCTCTCTCAGCTGATGTGTGTGTTTGTAGTGAACACCGGAGTCAAGATCAGTTCTTTCCCTCTGACTCTTTTGATGCCATGTGAGGTCATCAAAAGCAATCCTAATGAACTACTGCTCAAAACTGCTGCCACCACTAACATCATAACATGATTCCTTTAAGAGAATAGTTCACCCAAAAATCTAAATTCTGCCATGATTTACTCACCCTCACCAAAACCTGTATGGCCCTTTTATTAAGTGAAACACAAAAGAGGAGATTTAGTAGAGTGTTCATGCTGCTCTTTTCCATATGAAGAAAGTGATAGAGACAGAAGCTGTTGAGCTCAGAAAAAGCTCCATGAAAGTAATCCGTGTGACTTGTAGGGCTGCACGATAATGCTTAAACGAATCATGATTATTTTGCTCAAAAATTATAATCGCTATTATTAATTACGAAGTTCAGAAATTTCTTTTAACATTTCATCAGAATTATTGCACTTTCACATAAGCATGAATCAAGAAAATGTCAACTCGTGTATATAGGCCTGTCGCAATAATCAATATATTGACTTATCGCGCAATAAATGTACATGACCTCAATAATTTTTGGTGGCGCAATATATCGCCCATTATATTTACTTTAAATATAATAAAACATTTAATTAAATTAAATTACTTTTATTTTATTTTTTTTAATTTATAAAAATTAATGTCACCGTGTTTTGTACATTCCACTTGCGCCTGTGTCTTTTGCAGCTTCTCGTACATAACGTGGTGTAGTCGTGAGGTGCTATATATTTGTTTATGTTTATTATATTCGCCGTATACATTAACAAACTCTCTACATTATCTGCCATGATTTACTCACCCTCACCAAAACCTGTATGGCCCTTTTATTAAGTGAAACACAAAAGAGGAGATTTAGTAGAGTGTTCATGCTGCTCTTTTCCATATGAAGAAAGTGATAGAGACAGAAGCTGTTGAGCTCAGAAAAAGCTCCATGAAAGTAATCCGTGTGACTTGTAGGGCTGCACGATAATGCTTAAACGAATCATGATTATTTTGCTCAAAAATTATAATCGCTATTATTAATTACGAAGTTCAGAAATTTCTTTTAACATTTCATCAGAATTATTGCACTTTCACATAAGCATGAATCAAGAAAATGTCAACTCGTGTATATAGGCCTGTCGCAATAATCAATATATTGACTTATCGCGCAATAAATGTACATGACCTCAATCATTTTTGGTGGCGCAATATATCGCCCATTATATTTACTTTAAATATAATAAAACATTTAATTAAATTAAATTACTTTTATTTTATTTTTTTTAATTTATAAAAATGAATGTCACCGTGTTTTGTACATTCCACTTGCGCCTGTGTCTTTTGCAGCTTCTCGTACATAACGTGGTGTAGTCGTGAGGTGCTATATATTTGTTTATGTTTATTATATTCGCCGTATACATTAACAAACTCTCTACATTATAAAAACTGTCAAAACCATAAGAAGTTTCAAAACTTCTCTCAAAAGCTAAAAACGTGCAATACCAAATATTAATTACAATAATTCCAAATTATATTCATGTTTTTCTACAATTAGCAGTAGACATTGATGTAAATCATACTCGACACTATTCATGATAACTAATAGAGGTTAGATTATTTGTTTATTGCTAGATTAATCAACTGGTCTAATCAATAACTTAATTGACTGAATTAAAAAAAATAGTGCTGTCAAACGATTAATCGCGATTAATCGCATCCAAAATAAAAGTTTTTGTTTACATAATATGTGTGTGTGTGTGTACTGTGTATATTTATTATGTATATATAAATACACACACATACAGTATATATTTCAAAAATATTTACATGTATATATTTATATTCATATAATACAAACAACTTATTTTTCTGAAATATATACATGCATGTGTGTATTTATATATACATAATTAATATACACAGTACACACACATATATTACGTAAACAAAAACATTTATTTTGGATGCGATTAATCGCGATTAATCGTTTGACAGCTCTAAAAGTGAATTGTGAGTTGCATGGTCTACTTTTATGATTTCTCATTTTTGTAGCTCAACATCATCCATCAACTTGTATTGTATGGAAAAGAGCAGCGTAAACATTTTGCCTGACATCTGTTAGAAGGTTATGAGGAGAGTAAATGATCAATTACTCATGGGTGAACTGTTCCTTTAAGAATAGTGAAATAATCGAACTCACATAGCGGAGTAATAATACTAGAACTGTAACAGCACCAATAACATCGACACACATGCACACGTGGTGAGTCTGACGGCTGATTGGTGAACTAGAGGTGTGATCTCCCCCTCCTCTCCTCTCCATACTTCACCACTTTGTCATTCCTAACCATCAAACCCCCTCAAACCAGAGTCCGTCCTGACACGCACTCACAGGACATTGTGTCTGAGTTCATTTGTAACCCTCTCCTGCCTTTTCCTCCCACCAACATCCCCTTACCAACCTCCATTCCAGGACAGAAAGTTCTTCAAGGGCTTCTTTGCAAAAGTAAGTTCTGCTGTGTGCATTTACGTACCGTCCAAAACATACTCTATGCAAGTACTCAAGCTTGAATTTATGTTGTTGCTTCAGTCCTCAGTTTATAATTGTAATGCAAAATCATGCTGCATTTTCAGTGTTGTTGCAAGGGTCTTTAGATTTTTAGGGTTTTCTCTTTCAGTTTAGCTACCGTCATGACGGAAGACAATCTTTCTGAGAAAGTTAGTTGAAGTTATCTTATGACAGCACCTCTGACATTTGATGGAAACATCACCACCCACTTGGATTTTGCAGATAACCATAACTAAAACTGGAAAATGTGTCTACTCTTTCAGTCTTTATTTAAAAAAATTAATAAATAAAAAAAACTTTCCCTGAAAGTTCGAGTTAGAATAGTTTGAAAGAGTGCACAATGAGCAGGGTTTAAAAAGTCTTACATTTAGTTATATCAAATGTAAGTCTCAAGTCTTATGATTTCAAGAGGTCTTAAATTTGGGGACGGAAAGACCAGAATTCCGATATGGCTAAATGTGACGATTAAACTTCAAAAGGCTATGATTTATTAAATAAACATGACTGGTGCTGTACTGTTTCGAAATTTTAAAAGTTTAAAGTCTGAAATGTGGAGTTTATTATTTTTATTTATTATTTATTATTATATTTATTTATATATTTTTGTTTTTGTGAAAACCTGTATCTGAACTGCAAATCAGGCTTTTTACAATCATTTTACAGTTTAATATGTTACCATAGACATTGCCCTACCTCGCTCGTATGGTATTCATTTTATTTGTGCAGGTCTTAAATTTGAGCCTAAAGATCCTGCAGAGACGCTGAATGAGGCTGTGAAAGCAGCTAGGGAAGACGTTTAGTGTCCCGACAACCTGTTTGTAGTCCTATTTAGACACTTGTCAGCAATCGCATTTTTCAAAACAAGTATAAGCTGTAATAAAAACACAAGCTGGTGTTACTTATGTATTTTATGTCATAGAATAAAATGTGGAAATATCTTGAGCTTATGTTAAACAGACCTTATTTCAAACATTTCACAAAAAAGCCATCAGCTTCAGGAACGATGGACCCAGAAGTGCTAAAATGCAACTTGTTTCCAGGTTTTGGCCTACAAAAACATGTCATTACTGCAGTACTCCATTTTTTATTTGATTGTCCTAAATCCGTGAATCTCAACCTTTTGGCGTACCGGACCCCAGTCCAATTCAGAACCATCCTCAAGGACCCCCAGAACAAAATGGACTCATCTATGTATCATTTGTGTCTTCGTAATCCAGGTGTGAAAAACTTGTTGTATCTTTCCCAAAAAGACTCATGGCTGTATTCGATCAAAAGGGTGCTTCTACTAAATACTGAGCAAAGGGTCTGAATACTTAGGACCATGTGTTATTTCAGTTTTTCTTTTTTAATAAATCTGCAAAAATGTCAACAATTCTGTGTTTTTCTGTCAATATGGGGTGCTGTGTGTACATTAATGAGGAAAAAAAATTAACTTAAATGATTTTAGCAAATGGCTGCAATATAACAAAGAGTGAAACATTTAAGGGGGTCTGAATACTTTCCGTACGCACTGTATATTGGATTTTTCTTTCATGGGAACATGTCATGTCAAAATATATAACATTTATACAAAAATTCATACGGACCCCTGGTTGAGAAACACTGTCCTAAATGGTTGATTTATTGTACCACGACTAAATGTAAAGATAATTCGTACTGTATGGCTTTTCCCTAATACAAAGTGTATTCACATGTCACAGCTGGTTTTATTTCGCCTTATTTAGAGGGTGCTCTATTACACTGATTTAACCAGTTTTCCATAAAGCAACAATTGGTGCTAATTAATCTGTAAAAACAGCAGATTGATCGACCTCTGCTCCTGAGTACTGAAGTCTGGTGCCACTACAGTCACAATGTGATTGAATAACTGTTTGTGTACTTGCATAGAGTATGTTTGTGGCTCAAACGTGTGTGAATGTGTGTACACTTTATTTCCCCCCCTCCACTGATAGATTAGTTTGCTCCTAAAACATGCCTGGAGCAATAGAAGAGTGTGTGCAAAGGGGCAAATTGAGTTTCTGAACTCATCTTGTCATCTTTTTTGTAACGAAAGTGTGTGTGTGTATGTGTGAGAAACCGCTCATTTCTGCACTTAGTTAAGTGTGAACACTCAAGCTCCCTGAATCAGGATGTGTGTTTGTTTGAGTGGTTCACTTCTGCTGTTTCTTTCCTTCTCGCGTTATACGACATGCCTGCTCCTAACACTACTGTAACCTTCTCAACACTCACTGTTTTTTAACTTTTCTCTGTTTTCAGGTGTTGTTGGTTGATGAAAAGTGCATTTGTATGAAAGTCGAAGAGGGTGAAGGGCCTCAACAGGGGGATCTTGTGGGAAAATCAGCTCTCTTCTCTTTTCCCGTCCGTCTCTCACTGTGTGTGTTGTGTGTGTCCACACAGGCGGGTAAGAAGGCCGTGCGAGCGGTGCTCTGGGTGTCTGCGGATGGCCTGAGGGTCGTAGATGACAAGACAAAGGTACTGAAGGACTCTAAACTGATCCACCAGATAACCACAGTACTGATACATACACCACAGTAGATCATAAGGAAGAATTAGATCTTGACCATTTAAAAAAAAAAAAAAAAAAAAAAATGCACTTAAAGAGAATTCAGATAAAAAAAATGTTGTCATCATTTACTCACATCCATGACCTTCTTCAGTGGAGTGATCACTGTCTGATTTGTGAACAAATCATTACAAAATGATGATGTGAATCAGAGCCAGCCTATTAAATGAAAATGTCTGAGTCATAAGAACGATTCGTTCGTGAACTCTTGAGAAAGGAAAACTAATGCAGACCATGGTTATTATAGTTGACTAAAACTAAAACCATAAAAAAGTGTTGCTTAAAAAGAAATAAACATAAACTGAAATATTAAAAAAAAAAAAAAAAAAAAAATCAGCTTGTTGACATAAATGAATAGAAAAAAACGAATATATTAAATATGAACATATTTAAAACTGCTAACTAATAAAAATAAGGCACACTAACAAAATTACTAAAACTTAATATGAAAATTAATTCAAAATATTAATAAAAAATATAATCGCATCTTAGTGATTGTAAAATAACACACTGTTAGATGTCAAGATCTTTAGTAAATGGCTTTAGAAGACTTTGGAAATCCTTGTGTGAATCATACTGGCCACGTTTATGATGCTCTTGCGTCACTGAAAGCTTCAGTCCCATTCATTGCAAATGCATAGAAAAGAGCATCTTCTCAAACTGTCTTTTTTGTGTGTTCATGGAAGAGGTTTGGATCAGCATGCGGTGCAGGTGAATGAATCAATTGTCATATTCGGCGTTTTCTGCCACCTGCTGGTGAGAGTCAGTCATTGCTCATCGGTGCATGAAGGCCTGCTGGGTTTTAGTCTGGCAGATGATCCACTTAGTTGCATTTCAATGCTGCTGAATTTAAAAATGTATAGACTTTTACTGATGCAGATGCCTGCAGAAGCAGAAATTGCTAAATCATTTTTCATCTTCCCAAATTTGTCATGGAAAATCGTTTATAAATCTGTTGTTAACAAAAGAGAAGCGTTAAGGTCTCCCTGTGGTTTAACATGTGAATGTTATTCACAGCCATGAATATTAGTATCAGAATTCATTTTCAGAATCAGGCATTCATTTTCTTGCTCTGTATAAAATCATTATTATTAAATACCTTTTTTTATTATTCAGTACACTAGTAAAATTACTTTAGTATTATATTTCTTTTTAGAATTGAATACAATTAAAATAATACTTAAATCCACAATTTAAATCTGATATTTAAACATTTTTGCATTTTGCAAAAACATGCATTTTTGTCTCCCTTTTTCACTGCTTTTGAATACGGCATGAGAGCAGATGTGTGACGGCACACTGGAACACTGTTGTTTTGTGAAAATATAAATGGCAGTTGGAATGACATGCATTTTGCCTGTTTTGTTCCCAGGATCTCATTCTAGACCAGACGATAGAGAAGGTGTCCTTCTGTGCACCGGATCGTAACTTCGAGCACGCCTTCTCCTACATCTGCAGAGACGGGACCACGCGCCGCTGGATCTGCCACTGCTTCATGGCCATCAAGGACTCGGTGAGATGCTCAGATCTGTCACATACTCTCGTGGACAGACTGCCTCTTTATATGAAATTGTGTTTGGAGGACGAAGAGCATCTTAGAATTACAACTTTACATCTTGCAAATGCGTTTTGTCAAGTAGCTAGTAAAAATCGAATCGTTCTACATCACATAATCGGTGTTGTACTATTACAATACTATCATTGTCAAGTTGACATTTTTTAGAAAGACTACATTTTGTGTCCAAACAGCCACATATATCACATTTTTATGAATGTCACAATTGCAAAGTGTCCAAGAAAGAAATTAAATTGCAGATATAAGAAGTTCAGTTTGAATTGTAAGGCATTCAGTCACAGTTATGAGAATAAACACAGCACGTGTGTAATACATTACAGTGACAACAGTATAGACTACAATACAACATGAAAACTGGACTAAAGAGTTTGATTATTACTTATATTAAATCACATGTATACAGTTTTAGGTTACAGCTGCATCTATCTGAAGATAAAAACCAGCAGTGGTTGATTTTACTATTGCTATTGTTATTTACAGTTTTCAATGTACTCTCATTATAAAAATAACGTTATTAATGCTCATTTAGACCTTTCGGTAAGGAGACCTCAAAACGGGAAGCCCGTTTCTGCTACTTAATCAAAAAATTAACAAGGTTAATGTGACTTTTTCTCTCGCAATTCTGACTTTTTCTCTCGCAATTCTGACTTTTTTTTCCTCACAATTCTGACTTTTTTTTCTCGCAATTGCGAGTTTATATCTCACAATTCTGACTTTTTTTGGTATCGCAATTCGGACTTTTTTTCTCTCGCGACTTTTTTTCTCTCGCAATTCGGACTTTTTCTCTCGCAATTCGGACTTTTTTTCTCGCAATTCTGACTTTTTTCTCTCGCAATTCTGACTTTTTTTGGTATCACAATTCGGACTTTTTTTGGTATCGCAATTCGGACTTTTTTTCTCTCGCAATTCAGACTTTTTTTCTCTCGCAATTCCCATTTTTAAAAATGTCAGAGTCGCAATTCCCATTTTTATTTTCTATTCAGTGGCGGAAACGGTCGTCCAGACAAAACTGTACTGGAATAAAATAAATAAATAACTTTTTGCTCAAAACGTACCAAAATGAAAAATTATTTATAATCCCTGTACAAGAGCGACTTGGTGGTGTTTCCAAAAAAAGAGAGCTAAAATTAGTTTTAAAAAAATATTGCCGTATTAGATATCGGCATATGATTTAATGCTATGAAAATGAATAATATTTATATCATTAATTATTTATGATATGTATAATTAAACCCACAAGCCTTCGGTTCATATGAAGACTGTGTTTTTGTATTTGTAATGGTTGGTGTTGGTCTCAGGGCGAGCGTCTGAGCCATGCGGTGGGCTGTGCGTTTGCAGCGTGTTTGGAGCGCAAACAGAAGAGGGAGAAGGAGTGCGGGGTCACGGCCACTTTCGATGCCAACCGCACCACTTTCACACGGGAGGGATCCTTCCGCGTCACCACAGCCACGGAGCAGGCCGAGCGAGAGGAGGTCATGAGACAACTGCAGGATGCTAAGAAAGGTGTGTGTGTGAGAGATTTAATACAGTGCCCTTGAATAGTTCTGGATCCTTAAAGGGGTCATATGACATTGCTAAAAAACAACATTATTTTGTGTATTTGCTCAAATGAAATGTGTTTATGCGGTTTAAGGTTAAAAAAACACATTATTTTCCACATACTGTACATTGTTTCTCCTCTATGCCCCGCCTTTCTGAAACGCGTCGATTTTTACAAAGCTCATCGTTCTGAAAAGCGAGGTGTGCTGTGATTGGCCAGCTATCCAGTGCGTTGTGATTGGCCGAATACCTCAAGCGTGTGACGGAAATGTTACGCCCCTCACCATACTGTGATGATGCCCTGTTCGGCCGGAGCGACCAGTGGTGGACAGTAACGAAGTAGCTTTACTTCGTTACTGTACTTAAGTACATTTTTCAAGTATCCGTACTTTACTGGAGTCGTTTTATTTTTTGTAACTTTTACTTTTACTTCACTACATTCCAAAGCATAAGATCGTACTTTTTACTTCACTACATTTCATAAAACTTATCGTTACTCCTTATAATATATCACGTGCTCCGAGACGCAGAAGCGGTGTCTGATTCATGAATGAACTGATTCTTTTCAATGAACCGTTTAAATCGATTCGCAAATCGCACCAAACGATTCATTGACGAATTAGAATTAAGCGATTGCAGCTGTTCTCGAGTCGACAAAACTGATTCAAATGAACCGTTCAGTGCAAGTCTCCAGTGAACTGAATTCACAAGTAAGAACCGCGCGTGCAACTGATGCTGCTAAAAGTAAGTTACTAATGTCGAATTTTAGTATTAATTATTGTAACTGAAAATCATATTTAGGTCAAAACTGTCAGTTGTTTGTGAACTAAATCTGCTGTAAAGGGTGATCTGTTTAAGTGAAATGCTTGATTGCATCAGAGTCTCTATGATTTAGGTCAAAAAACATAAAAATAACACAGATTAAATAAAATAATTCATGCACGTTCATCTTCCCCGCTGCTTTAACGTTAGCAGTTTTACTAAAATGCTATACATTTAGCCCTATGTGATGTCTGTTTTTATTGTTTGTAAGCACACATGGCCTAAGTTACTATGTATCTGGATCAATAGCCGAGTAGACAAATATAAATGTTTATTCATAACCATGCTGAAAATAAATCAATGTTAGCTGATGCTAATTGTCTAGCTAACGAGCTTGCTGGTGCTAAATTGAGGCAATTTTTAAAAAACTAAAGTCCAAATATTTTTATTCAACCACCTAGATAGATTACATCTGGGGGGAAATAAAGGATGTGATGTTCAGAACATGGTAACTACAGTTATTATCAAAGTGGGAAGTGATGCCCTCTGGGGGCAGTTGGCCAGGGGTGTTTTTACACCACAGAAAAGGTTTGAGAAGAAAAAAATCATTATGAAAATATTATTATATTTTCCTTAAAATGTTCTTCCTATGAACGAGGCATTTGTTGCATCCAGTGGAGACATAATTACGGATTATAATGACTTATACTGTCTTTTTACGCACTGCGTTGCATCGCGCCTCGTAAACATAAAACCATGTCTGCATTTATGATCAGAGAAATAACAAACAACAAGCGCTACTCTACACTGCCCAAAACTCACGTTTTAATCATCAGTGGCAAATTCTTTAAATATGAAAAACGTACTTACAGTCTGTGAGTCAGAACAGCCGGCATTGTAGTCTACTCTCCCAGGATCAGGAAACAGTCCTCCATAAAATGCGCTGCACACATCTGAATATTTGGGTTGAAGTGTTCTGGAACAGTGTTGTAAATACAACTTAACCACTGATTTCTAGTCGTGTCCTCTTTTGGAAGACCAAACAAAGTAGTTTCGCTTTCACAACAAAACACACAGCGTCTCCACGACATGGCGGCGGAGGCAACAACAATAAAGTTACGCCTTCTTTCTTTGCGTGAACATTTGAGCGGTGTTATGCAAATCTTCCCACATCGTGACGTAGACATGTGGGGGCGTGTTTAAACGAGGCGTTTTAGGTAGGTGTGGCTGACTCTTAACTTTTATAAAGAATATCTCTTTGGATTTGAGACTTTAGTCTTTGCAACTTTAGGGATCTTATCTATTCACGAAACAGCTTGTAAACACTCCAAAGAGAAAGCAAAACTTGAAATTGCATCATATGACCCCTTTAAGTCCAAAGAAATGTCTGAATGTTGTCACACTAGATCAGGGCTTCAGGGATGTGATGTTCATACATTTCAGAATTGTGTATGTATGCTACCATGCAAGTTTGGGGTCAATAAGCATTTTTTAAAATGTTTTTGAAAGTCTCTTATGCTCACCCAGCCTGCATTCATTTAATCATAAAAACAGTAACATTATGATTATTACAATTTAAAATGACTGTTTTCTATGTGAATCTATGTTTTGCTGTGATCAAAGCTGTATTTTCAGCATCATTACTCCAGTCTTCAGTGTCACATGATCTTCAGAAATCATTCTAATATGCTGATTTGCTGCTCAAGAAACATTTCTGATTATTATCAATGTTGAAAACAGTTATGCTGCTTCATATTTTTGTGGAAACTATGATGCATTTTTGTAAATATCTTTACTGTCACTTGATCAATTTAATTCATCCTTACTAAATAGAAGTATTAATTTCTTTAAAAAAAACAACAACAACGAAAATAGGGTATGTCAGTTTCCTCTTGCCACTGTCTTCTCTATCTTAGTCACTTGTTTGTAGAGCACTGTTCTCTGTAAAACTGATTGTGATTATTTATTGTGAAAAGTATCACACAAATACGCATTCAAATAATTTGATTTTTTTTTTTTTTTATATATATATATGAAACTTTTCCAGGAAGTCGGTCCTTTAGTTAGCAAAATATCAAAGCAAATTGACCTTTTCTCTTCTGGTGCATTTTTGCAATGACTTTTAACTAATTGGTGTCAAATGGTTTTTAGTGGATCAGTCATTAACATCTGTTTTTATGATCACAAAATTATTATTTTTTTTCATCAAGAATGGATTAAATTGATCAAAAGTGATAGTGAGTGATATTTATAATGTTAGAAAAGATTTATATTTTTCAAATCATTTCTATTCATCAAAGAATCCTGAAAAATGTATCACAGTTTCCACAAAAATATGAAGCAGCACAACCGTGTTTAACACTGATAATAATCAGAAATGTTTCTTGAGCAGCAAATCAGCATATTAGCATGATTTCTGAAGATCATGTGACACTGAAGACTGGAGTAATGATGCTGAAAATACAGCTGCGCATCACAGAAATAAATTACAGTTTAACATGTATTACAATAGAAAACAGTTATTTTAAATTGTAATAATATTTCACAATTTTACCGTATTGTTGATCAAATAAATTCAAGCTCGGTGAGCATAAGAGACTTCTTTTAAAAGCATGTCTCAAGTAACTTGTGTTTTGATGGTCACTGCGTGAGACGGTCTAACCCTTCCTCTGTCAGCAGACTCTGAGGGTGTGTTGGGTGGCTCCTCTGTCAGCGTGGCTAACCCTGTGGTCACCCTGGCTGGACCCAATGGCTCGTCATCCTCCCCTCCTCTGCCCATGGCCACACTGGCCCCTCAGGAAGCCAATCCTCACGCCATCCCGCGACGCCACGCCACTGTGGATGCAATCGCGCGCCAGGGCTCGTTCAGGGGCTTCCCTGCGCTCAGTCAGAAAACCTCTCCCTTCAAACGGCAGATGTCGCTGCGCATGAACGAGCTGCCCTCCACCATGCAGCGCAAGTCAGACTTTCCCATCAAAAACACTGGTGAGGTCCCCTTCTGAAATCTCCAATCTCCAAAAAAAATGTTTTGTCTTGTAAATCTGTATATATCTATATTGTAGGGCTGGGTATTGATTTGATTAAATTAGATTCACAAACTTGCGATTCGATTTAATTTTGATTAATTTGGATACTGTATATATATCAGATAGGATACATGTCCCATTTTCTCAAGAAGATGATTATTGGATGGTAATTGCACTACAAATAATGCTTTGGTGAAGTTTAGCTCATGCATCAGCTGAAAACAGCACAGATTAAGAGATTTAAGAACCAATATCAGGTAATCAAAATGAGAATTGATTAAAATTGAGGAAGATCAGCCCTACTATATTAGGTGTCCTCCTCTCTTTCCTCTTCTCTTATTGTACCTAAGACTTAAACAGTATTCTTTTGTTGCCTTCAGAGCACCGGTGTTTCCTGCAGCACATGTAAGTAGTGAATGTTGTCCTGTGTGTTTGTGTTTAACAGTGCCGGAGGTGGAGGGTGAGGGCGACAGCATCAGCTCTCTGTGCACTCAGATCACATCCACCTTCAGTGGGCCTCCAGAGGACCCGTTCTCCTCAGCGCCGATGCCCAAACCCGCCTCCTCACCGCAGTCACCCTCTGCTCCAGGTCAGCTACGCCCTCACACTCTCAGTAGTTTACAAAGGAGTAGATGTTTGCTTTATGGCTTGCACCATTACCCATTTTTACTAGTCAGCTGGTCAGTGTTTACATTATGTAAAAGAGTCAACACACACTGTGCAGCATCTGTATCCGAATGAATGTAAACCTATCAAATAAATTCAAGCTCGGTGAGCATAAGAGACTTCTTTTAAAAGCATGTCTCAAGTAACTTGTGTTTTGATGGTCACTGCGTGAGACGGTCTAACCCTTCCTCTGTCAGCAGACTCTGAGGGTGTGTTGGGTGGCTCCTCTGTCAGCGTGGCTAACCCTGTGGTCACCCTGGCTGGACCCAATGGCTCGTCATCCTCCCCTCCTCTGCCCATGGCCACACTGGCCCCTCAGGAAGCCAATCCTCACGCCATCCCGCGACGCCACGCCACTGTGGATGCAATCGCGCGCCAGGGCTCGTTCAGGGGCTTCCCTGCGCTCAGTCAGAAAACCTCTCCCTTCAAACGGCAGATGTCGCTGCGCATGAACGAGCTGCCCTCCACCATGCAGCGCAAGTCAGACTTTCCCATCAAAAACACTGGTGAGGTCCCCTTCTGAAATCTCCAATCTCCAAAAAAAATGTTTTGTCTTGTAAATCTGTATATATCTATATTGTAGGGCTGGGTATTGATTTGATTAAATTAGATTCACAAACTTGCGATTCGATTTAATTTTGATTAATTTGGATACTGTATATATATCAGATAGGATACATGTCCCATTTTCTCAAGAAGATGATTATTGGATGGTAATTGCACTACAAATAATGCTTTGGTGAAGTTTAGCTCATGCATCAGCTGAAAACAGCACAGATTAAGAGATTTAAGAACCAATATCAGGTAATCAAAATGAGAATTGATTAAAATTGAGGAAGATCAGCCCTACTATATTAGGTGTCCTCCTCTCTTTCCTCTTCTCTTATTGTACCTAAGACTTAAACAGTATTCTTTTGTTGCCTTCAGAGCACCGGTGTTTCCTGCAGCACATGTAAGTAGTGTGTGTTTGTGTTTAACAGTGCCGGAGGTGGAGGGTGAGGGCGACAGCATCAGCTCTCTGTGCACTCAGATCACATCCACCTTCAGTGGGCCTCCAGAGGACCCGTTCTCCTCAGCGCCGATGCCCAAACCCGCCTCCTCACCGCAGTCACCCTCTGCTCCAGGTCAGCTACGCCCTCACACTCTCAGTAGTTTACAAAGGAGTAGATGTTTGCTTTATGGCTTGCACCATTACCCATTTTTACTAGTCAGCTGGTCAGTGTTTACATTATGTAAAAGAGTCAACACACACTGTGCAGCATCTGTATCCGAATGAATGTAAACCTTTTTTTTTTTTGGTCAAAAATGACCTGAACTTGATATATAATGCCATTCAAATGTTTGATTTATTTAAAAAATGTTGATGTTTTTGAAAGAAGTTCTTAATTCTTAATTTTTTGGAAACCATGATACATACAGTATACAAATAAACTCATCAACAACTAACTAGTAAATTTGTCAGCCATCTCCATTACTAATACAAAGCTTATGTCGTATATTCTAACAACAGAGTTGTTCTGACAACTTATGTCATATTTTCCTCCTGCTGTCACCATACTTTGAACAAGCACAACTAAAATCATGTGATTCAAGACTAGTCTCTACAGACCCAGAACCTTGATTAGTGTCAGAACTAATTGAATCGTCTTCACAACCCCTAATATGTGTGTGTGTGTGTGTGTGTGTGTGTGTGTGTGTTAGCACTCTGTCTGCTTGTGTCCGGCTCTGTCTCTAATCTTCACGTCCTGTCTGCTGCTGTAGTTAACGGTGCAGTTCCTGCCTTCCCGCCGCCTAGTGTCACTGTAATTGCTGCAGCTAACTCACCCGTGCTGCCGCCCCCACTGCCTGTCCGAGAGACTAACCCCTGGGCCAAGACCCCAAACACGGCCCCCACCACAGCACACATAGGTAAGAGCTGGGCTTCCTGTTGACCATGCAGAATAGTTGCTGAGAAACTCATTTTGGTTATAATGTAAGGTTATTCTACTGTGAGCAGCTGTTGCATAATTCTTAAAACTGCTTTTCAGTGACTTCACAAGTGCAAGCATGCAACTTATTTGGTTTATTTTAGATGCTAATTGTAGTTTGCATCTGAGCAGACAGTCATGGTCACAGTCTATTTATACTGACGTATTTGAAAATTTATGTTTAAACAAAAGTATATGGTTAAAAAAAAATTTATTCGGCATTCACCATCCTGTTGGAATTATTATATAAGAATCAAAGAATGTCTTGTCTGTAAAACAATAGAAAGGAATAAGAAGTGTTATATAAAGAGAGAGTTATATATAGTGCAGTAAACTGCGAAAGAGAACTCACTCACACTCTGTTTGGCAGGAGGCTTTTTGTGTCCTGGATAACCACCAGCACTGCACATTTTTTTATGTCTCTCTTATCTGATACACCCATTAGAAGTCTTGTGAGTTGATCATCTGATGAGTTGATTCGGGTGTGTTTGGGGAGGGAGGCGTCTAAGATGTGCTCTGCTGGGGGTAATCCAGGACTAGGATTGGGAACCAATGGGATAGATGGACCTCGTTGACCATTGGCCACTTAAAAAAAACACTTAAAATGCATAAGAATGCATTCCATGTGAATGATGTATGGATTATCTTTTTGAGATAGCAAATTAGCTATTGTTGCATTGAATGCGGCTCTTCTGGGGACTCGATTCTCTGGAGCGGAATCAACTCCAGAATTTGGAATCAGCACTCGATTCCGAATGTCTCAGAATTGAAAGCTCGATTCCTTTTGGAGTCCCAGCCCTAGAGCGAGAGCCTCTAAACCAGGGGTGTCCGGTCCTGCTCCTGGAGGGCCACTGTCCTGTAGAGTTCTGCTCCAACCCCAATTAGACACACCTGAACCGGCTAATCAAGGTCTTACTTGGCATACAGTAAGCGTCCAGGCAGGTGTGTTGAGGATAAACTCTGCAGGACAGTTTGGGAGTTTGGACACCTTTTTTGGACAACTGTTAACAGTTTACCAGAATAAATGGCATGCTTACCAAAAACTGTTCTTGTTGTGTCCTGTAGGGAGCGAGTGGGCAAATCCTGCACCCACAGCAGGAGCCTTACCTGCTCTTTCTTCACCTGCCTCCTCTCACAAACGTACGGCATCGGAAGCCGACCGCTGGCTGGAGGAGGTGACCAAGTCTGTGCGAGCCCACCAACCCGCCATCATCACAAGAACCAACACGCCTCCCGCTCAGCAGCCCTTCCCCGCCCCCGGCCCTTCTGCACCCTTCATGCCAGGCATCCCTCCATCCGCGGTTCCTACCGTACCCCCACGCCAGCCGGCTTTCCATGCTCAGGCACCGGCGTCCTTCCCAGTGTCCAATGGAATCCCGTTTGTGCAACCAGCCTTTCCGGTGGTCGGCATTACACCTTCGCAGATGGTAGCCAACGTGTTCGGTTCTGCCACGCAAACTCAGCCCATCCCGGTACCTGTTCAGGTGCCCCAGGCGCAGCTCCAGTCTTCACCCTTCTCCACACCACCAACAGGCCAGTTTGACACCCAGGCTGTGTGCAGCCCCTTCAGCAAACCGCTCCTACCTCCGGTGTCAAACTCCACAGCGCTGCAGCCACCGAAAGTCAATGCCACATTTAATGGGGCAAACAGCTGGACGGCAGTGTCGTCACCGGCGCAGTCTGTGGCAGTGCAGCCACAGGCCGATGCCTTCGAGGCCCAGTGGGCCGCACTGGAGAGCCGCTCGCAGCAACGCACCGCTCCATCACCCACAAACCCCTTCTCCACCGAGCTCCACAAGACATTTGAGATCCAACTCTAAGCCACATTGAAGGACATTCATGGAGAGACGACTATTGAGGGAACGACCCCGCAAACCACTTCAGCTCCATATCTCCGTCTTTCGATTTCTTTGTCTGTTCATCCGTGTCTGGTTTTTGCTTGTGACATGAACAAATAGAGACAAGGGGGTTAATGAAGGTGCCCCCAGAAATGCAGCGAGTACAACTTCTGGCATTTATGGCGCAGTGATGTCCAAGATGAATTAGAGTGACAAGATGATGGTAAAAGGAATCTTTAGATGCTCTAACGTTGACCCTGTATTGTTCAGTACTCCCTCTACCCCTCTATCTCACAGCGCCCCCTAGCAGGCTGGATGACTGCTCCCTACCTGAAGGACGAGGCACTTCATAGACCTTCCAGGTTCACGAGGTTCTTGTAGAACTTCGCAATCAGAAGAGGAAGAAGCATGAGAATGCCAAAATCTTTATTTTTATGCATTAAGTATATTTTAAATAGCTTTGAAATTTAACTGAAGAGCTGTAAATAATCTTTCCAAAGGTGCAGGCTTATTTTGTGTGCATACAGGAACAGAGCATATATATATATAGGCGTGAAGGGATGGTTTTCATTTCTCGTCTCTATTCAGTTTTAGTCTTCTGGCCACCATGCATAGTTTGGATGTTCGTCTTTTGTAAATAGATAATCCATTTGTACCCAGACCGGGTTTGAGGGTCTTTAAATCACACAGGTCCCAGACAATGTTATCTTTCATGCTGCCATTTTAACCTTTTTTTTTAATTATTTTTTTTTAACTATAGTATGAGTACTTTGATTTCTATTGCCTACATATCATTATAATTTTTTTAATGAATTTTAACACTATTGACAGTGTCATTCGTTCAAGCCACTTTTATTTTATTTCGATAAAAGATATACATTTTAGCACAAGCACTGTACTAATCGATCATTTGGCCACTTACGGTTAATGTGGCGTTAGTGAGCTATGATGAGGTCTTGAAATGACCTGTGGTTCTTACTCTACAATGATTGCAGTGAATTTTTCTTTTCCTTCTTTTCATGCAATCCCATCAACCCTTTTGTTTTATCTGACGCAAAGATGATTGGTCCTGTTTTTAGGTTTTGATTCCATTTTGTAAGTATTGCATTGCATTCCAGTTCTTTATGGAAAATGTAATCTGAAAGATTGAATAAAACATTGGTGGTAGAGGAAAGCGGTTCTGTGTGCTTCTGTTCCACATACAGGATTCATGATTTGATGTATCTAATATCTGTGATTGTTTTGCAACTGAGGAGTCCAAACAAACATGGTAAGATGTTTGGCCCATGAACTGCAAAGATCTGCTCAAGGATCTCAAAGGAGGCTAAAGAGATGCTGGCGCCTCTGAAGCTATTCACAGGTGTCGCAGTTGGACAGCGTCACTTTAAAAAAACTGCAGGATGGCAAGTCCATATGAAGTGCACATCATTTGGGACATGGACTGTTGGTAATAATTATCTATAATTGGTCCGGTATGATGAGTTGGAATAATAATCATTTAATTTTATTTTGTGTATCACTGTGTATTTTCAGTTCAGTGACTATTAAGTTTTTTTCCATTGTCATTATTCAGGTGTAAAGTATTGTCCAGCGCTGGCCTGCCTGTGTGCTACCTGGTACTTTTAGCAGCTTTTCAAATAAATTTGAAATCATTTTAAAGAGGTTGCTGGGACAAATATCTAGTTTCACACCAGGTGGTAATCCTTGGCATCGGGGTTATTATCGTTAACTAAAACTAAAACCATGAAAAATATTTCATTACTTGAAATGAATATACAGGTGCATCTCAATAAATTAGAATGTCATGGAAAAGTTCATTTATTTCAGTAATTCAACTCAAATTGTGAAACTCGTGTATTAAATAAATTCAGTGCACACAGACTGAAGTAGTTTAAGTCTTTGGTTCTTTTAATTGTGGTGATTTTGGCTCACATTTAACAAAAACCCACCACTATCTCAACTCGTATATTTATTTAACACACGAGTTTCATAATTTGAGTTGAATTACTGAAATAAATGAACTTTTCCACGACGTTCTAATTTATTGAGATGCACATGTACATGTAATATTAACATTTTTATAATTTTGTATAATAACATTGTTTATTTTAACTTAAGGTACTAAAATAACTTAGTCAGAAATAAAAATCAATATTAATTATATAGTCTTTTTTTTAACTATTAAAAATAAAATAAAAAGATGGTAATATAAAAATAAAATCTAAAACGCATTATTAATAAAAACAATGAGTATCAGTGATACAAAAATGTCATTCGGTTTTAAATTCAGCTTAACTGGTGATTAGTCTTTCTGGAGAACAACTACTTTAATGTTTCATTCTTCAACAGATATTTAAATAGTAAGCAAAAAAATTGAGGTAAGTTTTACACCTAATGCTGCAAAAAAAAAAATCAGAAAATTAAAGCACATCCTCTGCACAATTCTCATTAGTGTAGAGAATGTGCTTTAATTTTCTGAAAATAATTTCAAAGTGCAAAATAATATTAATAAATGTTTATGAAACTTGTATTTTATCAGGTAAGATGTGACCTGAACGTTGAGAGTTTCGGTGAGATTGACGCCGCAGCTGTGTGAGAGTGCAGTAGTGTGCACTCAGTACACTGACATCTGCTGAGTTTACAGGTACGTCTATCTGCAGCAACAGAATAACATATGACACACGGAAGAAGTAGAAGTCCTACACCTCTGACACAAGCACACTGCGCTTAAAGTGACCGATTCGTGTAAGTAGATGTAGAGCTCTTCATCCAAATGATGTTGTATCTGTGTTTAATAGCAGTTCCTGAAGAGCATCTCAACACAAAATACTTTAGAAACACATGCAGCCAGGTCTTCAGTCATAGCTATGTTTGAATAAAGCTTACTGTTGGTTTACACCAAGAGAAGTAGCATGACAGATGCTGAATTTAATTTAATTCATTGGCCCATATTCACACAATTTTCAGCATCAAATGATATGCTTGGAGAAAAAATGCCACCAAAATTCAAGAAAACGTTATTTTTAATTTATTTGATTATGATTTAGACGCAAGCGAGAGTGCTGTTTTCTCTGAATATCAGCACAATTGTATGGAGCCAGATCGGCCTCAAAAATAATACATTTATCAAACAAAATTCGTAAATTCACAATTTACAAAATCCCATTCGTAAATTCATAAATGCAGAAGTAAAAGCATAAATATTTCCCCAAATGCTCACACGAAAGCATCTTACCTAAATACATTAAAAATGTTTACATTTCATTTTCAAATTCTAAGCGGTCCACGCACGTGTGATGATTTGCAAACGCAGATTCAACGATCCATAAATACACTTGTTTATTTTAACTTAAGGTACTAAAATAACTTAGTCAGAAATAAAAATCAATATTAATTATATAGTCTTTTTTTTAACTATTAAAAATAAAATAAAAAGATGGTAATATAAAAATAAAATCTAAAACGCATTATTAATAAAAACAATGAGTATCAGTGATACAAAAATGTCATTCGGTTTTAAATTCAGCTTAACTGGTGATTAGTCTTTCTGGAGAACAACTACTTTAATGTTTCATTCTTCAACAGATATTTAAATAGTAAGCAAAAAAATTGAGGTAAGTTTTACACCTAATGCTGCAAAAAAAAAAATCAGAAAATTAAAGCACATCCTCTGCACAATTCTCATTAGTGTAGAGAATGTGCTTTAATTTTCTGAAAATAATTTCAAAGTTTCCATCACACATTTATGAATGATGTTACGTGTATTTATGGATCGTTGAATCTGCGTTTGCAAATCATCACACGTGCGTGGACCGCTTAGAATTTGAAAATGAAATGTAAACATTTTTAATGTATTTAGGTAAGATGCTTTCGTGTGAGCATTTGGGGAAATATTTATGCTTTTACTTCTGCATTTATGAATTGTGTTTTGAATTTACGAATGGGATTTTGTAAATGTAAATTGTGCTGTGCATTGATGAATTTTGTTTTATAAATGTATTATTTTTGAGGCCGATCTGGCTCCACACAATTGCACATGTTTGTTGACCTGTGGTATAAACCAGTGTCACGAGAGCTGAGCTGAGTTACGTTTGAGATCAAATACTGTCTGTTTTTGCTCAATTTCACAAATGATAGCAGTTCTGAACAATTCCGTTTCTACAAGCCGTGGTGTTTCATCACTGAGTGAATGCAGCTGATACAGATTTCATTTGAATATCCTGTAGTGTCTTATTACTCTGACTGAATTTGATTAAATGTCAGAATTTGTCTGTGTTAAACCACATTTAATAAGGTTAGAAAATTACCCTTATAAAGGTAAAAATGGCCCTAGAAATCAATTTAAGGGGACAGATATTGCCAGCACCCATTACTTCAGTGTCACATGATCTTCAGAAATCATGCTAATATGCTGATTTGCTGCTGGAGAAACATTTTATTATAGAATTAATATTTTTGTGGAAACAGTGATGCACTTCCAAATAAGTTTGGAGAATATGATTTAAAAACAATTATTAATACTTTATTTCAGCAAGGATGCGTTACATTGATCAAAAGTGACAGTAAAGTCATTTATGATGTTAAAAAAATATATATTTCTAATAAATGCTGTTTTTTTGGACTTTCTATTGTAACTTGGTTTCCACAAAAATTTGAAGCAGCACAGCTGTTTTCATCATTTATAAAAATCAGCATATTAGAATGATTTCTGAAGAATCATGTGACACTGAAGACTGGAGCAATGATGCTGAAAATCACAGAAATAAAATATATTTGAAAAAATACAGTAAACAGTTTTTTTTAAATGGTAGTAATAGTTCACAAATGACTGTTTTTACTGTATTTTTCATCAAAGAAACCGCTTCGGTGAGTAAAACATTTAATAATGCGTATTAATTTTCAGTTTCAGAGGGAGCAGCTGCAGCGATGTCCAAGCCGAGCACGTTCACCGCGGCTCTGGCCACTATGTTAGGAGCCACTCTCGGCGGCCTGTTCCTGTGGCGCAGCATCCGCACACAGAAGAGAAAGGCCCTCAAGGGCCCCGCTTCAGCTGAGCCCGTACAAGCCCAGCTAGAAGCGGACATCACGCTCTCACAGCCGTCGGCACCGCTGCAAACCCAGAATCTTCTGCGTGCGCATTTGCTGTTAGAGGTGCCTCCCGTGATCGTCAGCTCGCCAGAAGAGTGGGAGACGCTCTGGCCTGATTTCCAGAAGGACCTGTCTGTCTATCCGGTTCTGGGATTGGACTGTGAATGGGTAAAAAGCATGCGTGTAAGCATGGCTCTGCATGTGGCTCAGTTTAAATGTTGTGTTTGTAGCAGCAGCAGCAGCACTAGATGACGATGTTGTCTGCTTTCACAGGTGTCTGTCAAAGGCAAGGCCTCGGCGGTCTCCTTACTCCAGCTGGCGACGTTCTCCGGCCACTGTGTGCTGGTCAGACTGCTGACGTTTCGTAATGCACAGCTTCCTCTCCCTGAGGGTCTCCTGGGGGTCCTCTCTGACCCCCGTGTGCTGAAGGTCGGGGTGGGATGTTATGAGGATGGGAAACGGCTGGCTCATGATCATGGTCTGACTCTGAGTTGCACCGTGGACCTGCGCTACCTGGCCTTCAGACAGAGGTAATGCCTCAGTTTGAGCCAAGACTTCAGGCACTTTTTATTAGGGCTGCACAGTTTATTGAAGTAAACCCAGCACTGCTTAGTACAATGATCAAATCATAAAGACTAATTTTAAATACATTTTTCTCATGATGATTTCCAAAATTATTATTATTATTATTATTAAATATTATATATTTTTTTACAGTGAAATGCAACAATAGTAATATTTCTTATTTTGTTTATTATATGAGATTTAAAAATTGCAATCACAATTTTTATACACAAAATTGCAATTCGATTTTTTTTCCCACAGAATGGTGGAGCCTTACTATCTATAAATGATCAAGTCAAGTCACATTTATTTCTGTATCGCTTTATACAATACAGATTGTTTCAGCAGCTCACATGAAAAAAAAGTAAGTGTTAATTTTGTAAAATTCAATTATGAAACCAATTCAATTTAAACAGCTATAAAGCAGCTCGACAGAATCATAGTGTCATTATTCTGCTCAGTTTAGTTCAGTGTTGATTGAATTCTGTTTAATAACCGTGTTAATGTTGCGAAGTCCATCAG